TTTCAGGTAAGCCCCAAAAAATGATCTCCTTTCAATTCGAAAGATTGAAGTGAACTCGATCACGGTCCGTCATATCATTGGCTGTGAGATTATGATGACTGCACGGTTGATGTGGTGGCTGGGCAACGTGTCGCGAAATCCTTTCCCGAACTGGGAAAAATCTTTATGTGATTTACAGATTGTTTTTTCGCGCCTGGGTGTGATGTGTATGTTTGTAAACGCACCCACGACATAGGAGAAAATCCCAGTGTGGGGCAATGTTTTATAGAAAAAGAAAATAATCTCGACCAACCTTTGCGTTTGGCTGGTGGATTGAAGAACCATCAAAAGCAATAGAATCTGGGACTCGATTCTCGTCTACTTTAAAGACAACAGTACTCAAAAGAAAATCGAACGAAAAACCAATTTTCTTATTTCCGAAATACGTATTAAATATTGAGATTAAAAAAAATGATCAAACATCGTATCGAGTAGGGTACCATCGAGGAATATTATCGTTTTCCAAAATTAATTGCTTTGATCAACGCTCCTTCCAATTTTAGATTATTTGTGTAACATAATTGATTACTGGTCAGCATTTTTGATGAAGATTAATAAAATTAGAAAATTACATTACATTAAGGTTTTATGTTTATTTGTGTGACTGGGGGCAAAACTCTTGATTTCGTTTCTCTGGCAAGGCAGTTGTTTATTTATTTATTTATTTATACTGGCTATTTATATTTATTATTTAGACTACCTCGTTGGCAGAGTGGTTGTAAGTGCAACTGAAGGGGAAAGGGGTCTTGGGTTCGATTCTCGGGTCGGGCAAAGTATTACTGGGTTTTTTAAATATTTTCAGTAGTAGCACGGAGTCTGGAAATGTGCCCGGTATATGGCGATAGGCTCACCCCCTATTACATGGGACTCATAACATAAATAGTGAAATGTGGGTGTTACTTCTGTGTGCACCTCTGCCTACCCCTCCGGGGATAATAGGCGTGATTCGTGACATACATAACGTATGTATGTATGTCTATTGCTATACAATACAATAACGTTATGTGACACTAAACGAATTAAGATATTATAAGAGAAATTGTTTAAATTCTTACTAATTGTTTGATATTTCAATTATTCACACTTATTTATTGCATCTGTTTTAAAACACCTACATAATGTTTGCACATGTTTATGAAAAATGTAAACACATGGTGTTGAAGGCTGAATGTAAATGGGAATCGTCCGATAGTTATTATGCATATTGAAATGTGTACATAGCAGATATTTCTAAAGAAGGAAACATCTCGAATGTCCTCGTAAGTTCAGTGCAAGCATGTGAGACGGACAATTGTGTAGATTTAGAATTGATTTCTGTTATAATCTAATACATTTTCAGTACATGGTACGAAGATTGAATTGATACCCTATATATCATAACATAACATCATGCCTTTTATCCTCGAACGAGTAGACAGAGGTGCACATTGCGGTACTTAATGCCACTGTACAATGTAACACCTACTTTTCACTATTTATGTTATAAGTCCCACGTTATAGAGGGTGAGAATCCTGCGTATCATTTTGACAATAAGATCAAATACATAATCTTATACTATTATATAAATCGGAAGAGTTTGTTTGTTTGAACGCGCTAATCTCCGTAACTACAAGTCTGATTTAAATAATTCTTTTTGTGTTGCATAGTGCATTTATCGAGGATGGCTATAGGCTATAAAACATTACGCTACGACCAATAGGAGCTGAGCAGAGCGTGTGAAACCGCGCGGAAGTAGCTAGTAATAATTATATATATCTTATAACACAATGAATAACCATTTAACCTTTCTTTATCATCTGTCAATAATACCGAAAACGTTAATGAAAATAATAATTTAAGTTTTAAAATGTCTAATGTATAATTTTTTTTTTCAGGTATCATTGGAGAATTATCAACGTTACTCCGGTAAGTGAAACAACATAAATAAATCTCAATGAGTCACTTCTCATTACGAATAGTATTACTAAAGTACCGATTCTATGTCCTGCTAATGAACTCACCTAAGAAACAAAGAACTGAGAACAATTTTATTGGGAATCAGAATTACAACCTTAATGCCGGAATACTGCAACGTTACTCAATTTAAGTCGTGCTTAAATATCGTGCCGTCTCTGTCATTTTACAAAGAATTTGTGGAGACAGAACTACACTGACTTAAAATTGAGTAACGTTTCAGTATTCGGGCATAAGAATTATAGTTGTTCTTCAAACTTAATGCGTCATCAATGGAGTTACAGTACCCGGTAATAAATATTGCACATCGACTTTTGGCTGGAGACTTGGATAATCTACACATTCGCTTGAAGCGCTTCGCTTTGCAGTAGTGGGATTCTCTGCCAGAGTCTATATTTCCAGAAGGGCATTTTTTTACAGCATAAGCCGGTAAACGAACCGACGGATTACCTGATGGTAAGTAATCGGCGCCGCCCATTTACATCCGAAACACCAAGGCGTTACAAGTCGTCGCCGTCTTCACTGTTTAATTTTTTTTTGTGTGTTATTATACTTTGTGACGGTGTGCAAATAAACAATTTTTCTTTCTAATAACGTGAGCGATTCAATTTCTAGGAGTACTCTCCCAGTGGCAGACACCTAAAATTTTTAGTAAAAATTCGGCGTTAGATACCGTCCTGCGTTACGGGTCTTACCTCTAAACGCGGCAACTTGGCTGGTTATCTGTTTTCAAAGCTCGATATGCAGTATTTGTTGCCAGGTACTGTACTTCTTTGTAAAGCAAGTCTCATAAAGAACATTCACAGTTACGAGTTAATAATAGCAGTCGTTTGATGCGTCATACATTGTGTTCTCAGTTCCCGCTTACATATTCATGTCACGTACGAAAGATGCGATGTATATGACACAATTCATTAGCATCTATGTTTGTTAACGATGCAGTTGTTACTATGTTCGATTTGATTGCATTCTTAATTTTAATTTGGGGGCTTTCCTGCTTGAACTAGTTGTTAATTAACTCGTCGAGCGTCCGCGTTCCTTATGATCCAACGGGTGCACACGTGACATTTGGAGAAAGAAAGAAAGAAAGAAAATGCATTTATTTGGCCATTGGCACACGAAAACAAGGATCATTACAATAAAAATAAAACAAATACAGTCAAAATAAAAACAAAACATTAATAATAGATTTTATAAAAGAGAAAGCAGCATGGAGCATTTTTTCTTATGATCCACCGGGTGCTCATAAGGACGCTCGAGGGGTTAAGAGAAGGGCTCTTATGTATAGGTACTTAAAACGATATGCAATTTCAAAAAAAATGTTATAAGTAGATAAAGTTAAAAGCAATAAACAGACAAACAAATTTCTTTCTCATTTATAAGTAGACACCGTGAAATCTATTTCATTATCGGCCCGAAGTAAAATGATTCTGTATTGGTAAAATAATAGAAGAAGAAGGAAAGAGTCTTTAAAACAATAAATAACTGTTAAACCATAGCAAGAAGCAAACTTACTCAGACTAACGAAAGTGCATACGAACTCATGGTATATTATCAAAACACCAGGTCATGTAATTCTCGAAGTGGTATTTCTCGTCGGGTGCCACGTGTGGTGCGAATAGTACCTAATTTACGTCTAGTGTTTCATGTGCGTATTTCCATGAATTTCTTTTTAAACTAAAAAAACATCAATTTTTTTTTGTTTTTGCTTTATTCATCAAGTGTAATCCTTATGGCACGTTGTTTTGCCGCAAGACGAAAATGAAATAGATTTACAGTGTATGTTAGAATAGAATAATTATTTATTTGCTCAGAATGCAGGTATGTATTTACAATAAGATGATAGTAAAACACTAATAAGTTGTCCTTGTACATTCTACCCTTTTTGGCATGCAAACATTGATACAGGTTCATCATCAGACTTTATTCAGATGCGGTTAGGATTAATGTAGATTTTATAGTTGTTACACAATGATAAGTATAGTATAATAGTTAAGTTTGAGGGTATCTATATTAAGTTTAACACCCACATGCGGTATTATAATTGTATTGAAATTGTTACAATTTTATTTATAAGAGGTAACAATTAAGAAAATTTTACATTATGGCAACAATACCGTCGCCTAAAAAAAATAGGCTAAAAAAAATAACAAAAAAAAAATACGAAGTGTCATCAAAAAAATTGCGGAAATATTTTAAAAAAGGAAAAGGCATTTTATTTTCCACAATGGCGCTCCACTTGTGAGCCGACCTCTTTCCTGACAATCGTCTGTTTGTTCTTGTTACGAAATAGGGTTTATTGTCACCAGTCCACCTTAATTTTGTTTAAGATGAATTGTTTCACGGTAATATTACAATACAATTATTCTGTAAGCGAGATAAGAGGTATAATAGAGGGTGTTGGAGATGTAAATAGATACTTAAGCAAATAATGCAGAATCGTGGCTTCTATATTTTAATAATTTTGTAGTTGCTCGTGACATGAACAGAATGAGACAGAAATTTGCTTAGTAGGTAGGTACTTAATTTTTGTAATAAAGAGTAAAAAAGCTACCGTTCAATAATGACACATTCGTATGAACAGCTGTACAGCAGCTGTAAAAATAGACATTTCGATTTTTTGTTGTCGCTTTTGTATATTAATGTCTACTAACGATTTTTCTGTAGAGTAAAAGAGGAAAGTCCTAGCAGACAATACATTTTAGTTCAACACAATATATTTATGCTACTCACACACAAATTACAAGGTAAACAAAAACCTTCTGCATTAATTATCACTTAATTAATTAACAACACGTTTTAATCAGTTATAGAACTCCGTCATCCGTCATCAGGTCAAAGTCAGTCAAACAGGACGTGACCTGACTTAAGAATCGCCGAATATCCTCTATGATGTCCTTATCACACCATTTATGATATAACAAAGCACCATAAAGTTAATATCATAGTAGGTATAAATTGTGCCGAAATATGGCTACCAGTATCATTCAATTGCTCAACAGCAACCATGAAGTTCCTCATCCTCTCTTGTGTTGTGATCGGAGCCCTGGCTGACCTGCCTCGCTTCAGACCTGCGAGGTTCAGGTTCCAGCGTCAAGAGTTAGCTCCGACCACCACGGATTCACCAACCGAACCGACCACAGAAGCATCTGGACCTTACCCACCATCAGGATGGAAACCTGCTGGAGAACCGTTCACTCTCCCCAACGAACAGCAACCTGAGAAGCCAGCTGACCAATATGGAGCGCCTGCTGATCAGTACGGAGCTCCAGATGCACCATACCCAGCTTCTGGGTGGAAACCTCAAGGTCAAGCATTTGAGCTGCCCAAGCAGACACCACCAGCTACCAGCTATGGCGTTCCCGACAATACTTATGGACCTCCTGAGTCCACTGAAACCCCAACTACTGATAACCCTCAAGCTGAGAGATTAGAAGGACCTGTAGATGTCCAGAAGAGTATTGGAACTTACTACGTGCTGCTCCCAAATGGACTGCTGCAAAAAGTGGAGTTTGCGACGGAGAATGATGTCCAGAATATGAAGTATACTGCGAGACTCCAGCTGCGCAGACCTGCTCCTGTACTTTTAAAGTTTACCAAATGATGGTTCTAAATAAAGTGTTTATTATGCTGTGAAAGACCTGTTTCTTTGTAATTCCTAAGATTTTACAATAAGTGCATAGATATAGATGGTTGGCAGGCCACAACTGTGCGCTTCTCACGTAGTTTCCTGCCTCGCACAGCAAAACTGTGGAATGATTTGTCGTCGGCGGTATTTCCGAATTGATACGACCTTCAAACCTTCAAGAAAAGAGCGTACGCCTTTTTAAAGGGCCGGCAACGCACCTGTGACTCCTCTGGTGTTGCGGGTGTCCATGGGCGGCGCTGATCGCTTACCATCAGGTGATCCGTCTGCTCGTTTGCCTCCTATTCCATAAAAAAGAGGATATTATACAAGTGGCATGTGTTTAGAAAGGCGGTAAGTGAAAACTTAAAACTTATCCATTTAGCCCGTCAAATAGTTAAGTTAATATATCGTAAAATATAATTCATTTCATTGTCTACTGATATCGCATTATGGCTCCGGTTAATGCATTGGAATTTAAAATAGCATTAATTGATTTCGAAATTTATCAATAACGTTACAATACAATAGATTAAGAGCTTTTGTTAATTACATTGTAATAATGATTAATAAATGTTCGTTAAAGTATACTGTATAGTGGTACAAAAAGTAGGTAACTTATTTTTTTTATATTTGATTGGCCAACGTTTTACCCCTATTTCGCCTGGTGGTAAGCGATGATGTGGTCTACGATGGAGCACGTCGTCCCGTAAGCAACCTATTCGCTCGGGCCTTGAAGACACCCAAGTTATACCCTTCAGGAAACACAAACTCTGGCAAAGAATTCCACTCCTTATCAGTACGCACAAGGAAGCTTCATGCGAAGCGCTTCATAAATCACTTAAAAAAACAAGATTTATATAATTTTTGAATTCCATTAGTAATACACCCATTTCTAATTCAGATATTCATTAGTAGTCATTTTAAATTTAGCTGCTATAACTTCTACTATTAACTTAAAACATGCACAGCCTAAAATAACCTCTATAAACAAATCCTTTCACACATAAATCCAAGTAATTACCAGCACCATATCACCATTCAAAAATCAACTTTACAGACTAAAAATTAGAGTTTATTTTCACTTTCACTGTATATTACTAAGTTTCACATTTCTTCAGCTACTGAAAATGAAAGCAGGTGACAGTTCCCATGAGGATCGTATGGCTAAAGAATTGGGTCATGAGTATCTTATGTGAGATACTTGAGTATTGTGAGATTGTGACGTCACGACGGGATTGACATCGTCCTCTCATAATATTATTTCATTCGCACTTCCGTGCAATTTCACCCGCTCTGCTCGGCCCCTATTGTTCACAGCGTGATGTTTTATAGCCTATAGTCTTGTCGGTAAATAAACTATCTAACGCAAAAAGAATTATTCAATTCGGTATAAAAAAAATAGTTCTGGAGAATAGCGCGTGCAAACAAACCAACCAACAAATTCTTCAGTTTATAACCAACTTCAAAAGAAAAGGTGGTGCTCAGTGTGACCTGTTTGTATGTATGTGTGTTTGTGCGACTATCTCGCAATTGATTAAAAAATAACTACAAGACGACTATAGATGTAACTTAGAATAGATATAGATTAGATTTACATATTTCAGATACGTACTATATGTATGTATTTTGTAAAACAGACAAACTTTAAGTATTGATAATTTGCAGGTGCATACATTTACTGAAAGATGATGTAAAAAACTTTCTTGAAAGATGAAACTGACAGTAAAAATATATTTTGTTAGAAAAATCGACTTTATAAAAACTGACGGAATAGCATCCTGATTGGACAAATTACTTCTTTGTCACGGTAGGTACCTACAACGCTAACAGAACATCAAGTAAATTGATGGCAAGTTAAAGGTGATCAATAATAGGTTCCGCTCAAATTCAATTTCAGGCACATGACAAGTAGTATTTTAAACTGATGTATCTACCTCTATATCTATCTGTACCTCTATTATAAGTATCTCATTTTTATTTATCTTTGCTCGAAAAAAGAAATCATCAATAGCTATATCAAAAAACCAATGATGTTTCATTTATTGCTTCGTTGGCCGAGTGGTCGCAAGTGCGACAAGAGATCTCTGGTTCGACTCCCGGGTCGGTGAAGTTTTTTTCTAGCCTATTTCCGATTTAGAGCCTATTTCCATATACCGGGCACAATTCGAGACTCCGTGCTACTACTGAGATTTTAATATATGTAATCATGTTTCATTTAACTTAAAGAGCATACAGACTTATTATAGAAGTGAGTTGTAGGAACAGCCTTTGGGCTTGCATTCATTACCGTGAACCGCTAAACGTTGGCATCTCCGCAATAATTATGTCATTTATACTGGTGACGGATTTTAATTGCTGCCACGTATTCATCTGCTGGTATTCATGGAACAGATGTTTTAGAGTTGTGACATTTTCGTATTAGGTAAGGTACAGGCCTGTGATGTTCGTGGTCAAAGAGATTTGTCGCCATACTCAGAACATTTATTCGTTGCTTGATCCAGTCTTTGCCATTTTTTTTAATTACAAAGTCGTTTCTAAGGAATGCTTTAAGTAGCTAATCATTAATTGGTCTGTTTTATTTAGTAGATATATTTACTAAGAAAAAAATAACAATAGAAAAATACATAAAATGAAATAGAACAAAATATAAAACGAAAATAAACATTCGGACCGAGGAATGAACCCGAGTGTACTGCGTGGAAGGCACCAGATTTCCCGAATAAGCTATTTAAACGTCATACATAATGGCGAAATTCTGCATCGTATTCGAATAAGGTTTTTAAAATGTCGTCCTTTTTTTGAAAATAAAACCTAGCCAGATCGCTTCATTACCTCCGAAACTCCACGAGTACAAAATTTCAAGAAAAACAATGGAGCCGTTCCCGAGATCGTTGATATACTTAACATGAATTGCATCATTTTAAGGTATATAGGTACAATTATTTACAATCTGAAAAAAAAAATCGAGGAATGACAAGCGCTCGCGGTTCGTAGACGTATTACACTGGTCCTCAAACGCAAATTAGCGTAAGATTAGTATTTGTGAATATGGGAACCACACACAATTGGGCAGTTTCCAGGGTATGAAAATTAAAAATCTAATTAGTCCATCAGTAAGATAATGAAAAAATATTAGATACGTATATTTTTATTTTCTCGTATTAATTTGCAATTCTTAGATAAAATGGCGCTAAGTTTAGGAGAGGGAGGTTGTTACGTCATAACGTGCTATAAAATGTGTGACGTCACACGATATTTCAAATTAATGTATCGTCAAAAGTATTTAATTTTGTAAGAAAAGAAAAAATACATGTCTGAAATTTTAAATTAATGTACCAGACGGCCATTAAAATAAAATTTTGGAAACTAGCCTATTGGAACATTAATATATTCGAATTGAATATTGATTAGTTTAAAAACAAGAATATCAGTAAGATATGTGTAACTAATGCCAAGTAATGGGTAATGATATGCTAATACTATTTAATATCAATATCAAAAATCCCGCCTGATACAACATCCCTAGTTGTTAATATGTATGTAGCCTTAATATTAAAGGCAGCTGTTTCTAATGTGTGCCGGTTCATTTTGTTTGGGCGAAACTAAATGTGGCCATGTTTCATGTTTAACGAGGTTTTTTGTTCTTTCATCTTGAGCTTGAAATGTCCTTAGGATTTTACGTTGAAGTTTAGTCTAAATATGATGATATCGTGTTACTCTTTATAATGGGGGTGTAGGTAGTGATTATGGCATATTGTAAGAAGTAGATTGCTATTTTTTTTCATTCTTACCAATTGCAGTCAGCATACACACCCATAAAACGACTGCTGAACATAGGGCACTCTTAAAGTTTTCTAGATAAGTCGTTGCGTTGTGTTTTGTCGTGTGAGTAAGGTTACCGGAGGCCAAATTACCCCTCTCTCCAATCTCTCTAATCCCTGAATCCCCAACAATCCCCAAAACGCCGGTAACACATTTCTACCTCTGGTGTTTCGGGTGTCCATGGGCGGCGCCGATTGCTTACTATCAAGATCACCTGATATACCGGTAAACGAGCAGACGGATCACCGTCTGCTCGTTTCATTCCATAACGAAATATCCCCATAAAGAAAGTACTCAAGTCAAGACAATATTAATAACCTTAAAAAACCTCATGGCGTTCACTGACCGCTCATCATAGATTGTCATAAAAAGATATGACCAAGTATCATAGACCACCTGTTGTCTATTCCTTTAACCCTATAGCTATTATGGTCTATCAGTGAGTTTGTGGACTCCGCAAAAAAGGGATTCCAGTAAACACCATAATTTGCATAGGATTTTAGATCTTAACTGTTTATAAAGAGTGTCTTTTATTGTGTGACAATGGTGTGAAATAAGGAAAATATAAAAATAAAAGTGTTTAGAGTATTTTTTCACAATTTCTGTTTTATAAGCAAAGCGCTTTTTTAAGTACTTACTTAATTCGATTAGAATAATGTCATTGTTTAATAAAAAATAGGCAGTTGTGTGATTAAATCAACAATACTTCTTTAAGATTAAAGATAAACAGAACAAATTATTACGTATTCACATATTTATTATAAGGAAAGTAACAATCACTGCATTAATTATTGGAAACACATACATTTACAACCCCAAAGACGTTGACATAAGGTCTATAGTCCTGTATCATACCACCACTGTTCATGGATTCAATTATAAGTCAAATGAGGAACTCTTAAGTCGTACGCTGGGTTTATAGTGCTGTAATTTGCCTGAAAAATAAATAGACAATAATAGTTAACTAAAAATTCACGTGAGTAGAATATACTGAGAAAAGCTCTACTAGTTTCAAACCACAGAAGGGTTCTTCCTCAAGTCTCACAATTTGACATAACATAACATAACATCACGCCTTTTATCCTTGAAGGGGTAGGCGGAGGTGCAAATTATACTACTGTACAATATAACACCCACTTTTCACTATTTATGTTACGAGTCCCATGTAATAGGGGGTGAGCCTATTGCCATATACCAGGCACAGTTCCAGACTCCATGCTACTACTGAGATTTTTAAAAAGCCCAGTAATGCTTTGCCCGACCCGAGAAAGAAACCGGAGACCCCTTGTCCGGCAGTCGCACTTGTAACCACTTAACACGCTAATGAGACAGTCAGTTGTATAATTAAATACATATAAACTCTTCTATGAAATATCTTACGCAAGCGATAGTGTAAAGGACTACCAGTTGTGAACATAATAACCATTAAAATGGATGACCAACTTGAGATCCTAAGTTCGGGTCTTAGGAGAGTCCCTAGAGCGCAATGTTTATAAATTATGAGCTTCCTAAACACAATGGTGAGTTTGGACATCGCTTTAAACATACTAATGTTGGATAATATGTTTTAGAATAAGTCGTTGGTCGAGAGCTCACGAAAAAATTGTGTTAGATTTGTTTCTGGTAAGGTTATTTGCGGATTTCAAAAATCTCAGTTTTCTAACACGGATTCTGGAATTATGAAATGAATTGGTTGGCAAGTGTGCTCCTTCACAGGCTTCATTCAGGTATCATCGCTTACCACCAGGTGGAATAGCGGCCAAATGCCAATACATAAATAAAAAATAAAAAATCTTACGATAATGATCGAGTCCTTGGAAGTAATTGTCCTTGACGATCCAGAAGTTGACCATCCATTGCACGATGCCCCTGATACTGCAGTAAGCCATGACTACGGCTATCCAGGACGTGTCTTCCACGTCCAGTGCTGTTGTTAATGGACTTTTCATTATAGCCCGGAGATGTCCATTCTTGGTCAGGTAGAGGAGTATAGCCGCTGAGGAATTAGAATAATTGTTATATTATAACTGTCGTGAGACATAATTAATTATAAAAGAAAAGGAAAAGACAAGAAAGTTATTAAACCTCGTTGGCCGAGTTGTCACAAGTGCGACTACCGGGCAAGAGGTCTCGGGTTCGATTCCTGTGTCGGGCAAAGTTATACTGGTTTTTTTTTTAATCTCAGAAGTAGCACGGAGTCTGGTAATGTGTAATATGGCAATAGGCTCACCCCCTATTACATGGAACTCATAACATAAATAGTGAAAAGTGGGTGTTACATTGTACAGTGGCATTGAGTGCCGTAATCTACACCTCTACCTACTCCTTCAATAATTATGATAACGAGTTAAGTTATGATAAAAAAGTTATTCTTAAAAAATTTAAACAGAAAATTAAATCAATTTGTTACATCGTTGTGCTCATGCATGTAAGACCACACAATCGCAACTTAGAAGTAAATTTAACATTACCGAAGTCTAATTTGATCAAAGAGATTAGTGGCATTAACTATTTTTAACATTTTTCTACTTAATTCTGAGCATTGAATAGGACTGAATTTCTATTGAGTGGGGGCAGGACCGTTAGAGTAAAGTGAATGGAACAGTTATCCTGTCGACTCGGCACAGATTAAACTCGGCTGTCTGCGCTGTAAAGCTGGCTCCAGAGTGGGCATCAATTACAAAGAGGCCGAGCTTATGTAGGCCTTGAATAAATGTGGTAATTGTCGTTATCCTTACAATTTTGGATCCTATTATAGAAGATATTAGGGATAGCTAATGATGATGACAGAGATTGTAAGTAATAATGACCGTGTGTGGACAAAGACACGATGGTATTAAACAATAAAATATGTGTTAATATCACAGAGATAAAGTTCAAAATTATACTAGCATTAATCTCACTGCTTTACTTTTGGTACTGATAATATTTTTAATATATACCCTTTGTAATAACAAGCTGAAGATGATGATGTATATTTTACGACATTTGCAAATTATTCTTGAGAAGCCTTGTAAATAAATTCGTCACAGCAAAGGTATTAAAATTTAAAGTGTGGTCAAGTAAAACTTGTGAATAATTCATTGGAGGCAGATCAAAGTCTGACGTACAGTATTCAACCGAATGTAATCCTGTGAGATTGCCTCCACTCTACATCGGTTGTAAAGTGGCCGAGCTCAGAAACGATACGTATTAAATTCGTACCATCGCTGCCTTTGATGGTGTAATGGATGTCTGGTTTCGTACATCACCAGCAATGTATCGAGTGGCTTATCGGATATCGTCGTGTCAAGGGGATTTACAATTCCACGTTGGGGCTTCGTCTGTTTGTTTCTCTTCTTTTGTCTTATATGTAAATCTAATTCTTTAAACAGAACTGCTTTTGTTATTATAATTGAAAACCGGTTTAAGTGGATTGTTAAATTCAACGACTTCATTAAGTAATCTGTTGGTTTCAGCAAAGGGCCTTTGAACATTATGTGTCGGGTCAAGTGGTAGGTATACATTTTTAATTTCATCTAGTCTTTATCTGAATTTACCAAATAAGAGCAAAAACTATTAGAAAATATTTAAAATCTTACATTCAGTGTAGGTGTATTTAGCATCGATCAGAAACAGTATGGTGTATATCACATCAGTAAGGAGTAGTGCAATTCCAGTGGTGGTGAATGGTAGCAGGGTGGCGTAGAAACTGCAGGATCGCTGCCCTTGAGTTATGTTGATGATGGCAAACAACGTCCAGATTAAGTGGAGGGACAGCCATACTTGAATCTCTCTAAAATGAAATACAATGTAAACATATTCAATAGCAAACTAATTAAAATTAGGAAATATAAGCTAATTATAAGTTAATTAATAATTAAGAGTTACTCACGTAAATGTACTGAGGAAAGCTCTACTGGTTTCGAGTCATAGAGGGACTCTTCCTCGTGAGCAGCGTGCGCGGTTGCAGCGATGTCGAGCAGCCTACTCTTCGACAGTATATTTACGAGAGTAATTAATTTTTAAATTAAATTTAGTAACGTAATTTTTAGCTGACTCAGCATACCTCACGATAGTTATTATAAAAAGTATAAGCGGGTTGATTATTTTATATTTAACTTTTAAGTATCATATCTCTGTTTATCTTGAAAAGACGTAATGATAAATTGTCACAACTCAAGCATTTGTGAGTAGCATGAAATTCTCCTCTATTTAAATGAAGATAAAATTAGGTAGGTACTAACGTTCTAAATCTCGAAGCGATATGATTCTTCGTTGGCCAGACTATACTGGTGTATATTCTGTCGTGGCCAATGCTGGCTGTCACATTGTAGAAAAAGACCTTCCCGCAAGCCTCAGGATCATACAAATACAAGATCTTCATCAACGTGATCTCATGCAGCTCGGTAGCATCCGGCTCCAATTTACAGTCTAAAGTCAGCCAACTTATAATCACAACTAATAATGCTGAAAGTGTTGAAGACAAACATTTAACAGGTCCATAATGATACAGTCCACAAACAGAAAACGTTAAGGTATCTTAGATATCGTTCCGAAATATGATTTGATCGTGTCAGAGTACACAGACCGTGAAATAAATTATCACAAATAACGATCCTTACTTTGGAAGAGTATCGCTAGCATGCTCCAACATCCTAACGACCCCATTACTTCGGTTTATTATTGCGACAGTTATTAAATAATAAACCTTTTCCAATTCAAGGCCGCACTCAAACTCGTTACAAAACGTTCCCGAGACAATCTAGAGAGCAAACAATTTTCAAGTGGGCCGCGTACCAATTTGCTGTCACTAAAATGGGTCCGCCCCATGTTTTGATTACAGGTAAAGTCCAGAATTAATGGGCAGCGTCTCCCGCCGGGAGGTGATAATGAAAAATTTAATAGCATCCTTCTACCAACGTTTCAAATTGAATTCGTTCAAGAGCAGAACCGCTTCATTTCATTTCTCGTTACCAAACGTTCTTTGGGAAAAATTCATTGCTTGCTAATCTATATAATAAAAGTCGGTTACTTTTCCGAACATTTAATTGCGAAAATGAGCTCTATTTCTTTTTTACTAACGCTCAAATTGGTTTCAATGCTATATAGTTAAGTTCTAAATATTAAATCTTAATATAAATCACCGAATCCTTTAATTAAATTTGAGGTTTTCGCTCCCCCAACCTGTAGACTAGGATTGAATTGTCAACAAATTGAAGTTGTTGTGGTTCAGGGAACGGATTATACTGATCGACAGGCCACTTTTTTCTGAATTCCTTTCTCCTGATCTTTCTTAGGATAATTCTGATAACTTTACAGAAGTATAAATTCATCATGAAGAATACAATACCCCGTAACCAACACACAGAGGCTAGGATAGGGAGCCAGCCGGCAAAGTGATCATAGTTGTTTAGTTTCAGATCGATGTTCCATCCACTGTACCTCAATATCATTCCTTTAGTTAAGCTCTGTTTGATATGCGTGACGTAGACTATTGCCATTGAAAAGTCAAAACCGACAATGATGACGCAGCTGTAAAAGAATACATCTAGAGCGAATTTCAAAGCGCGTATATCAGAATTGTTTTTCATGATGAATCGAAAAGCAATGGCTAGAAAGAACCATATGACGTGGAAGGTTAAGCTTAATTCTATATATCTGTAAAGAGAGAATGATTGTGGTTAGAAAGCAGTTGCGTAAACCTTCAGCAAATAGTATTGCCGTAGACTTTTCTAGTGGTAATAGATTCGTTTAATAAACAAACACAATAACATATAATAAAAGATTCTATTTTTAAAACGCAGATACCGGAAACAAGAACTTTTCCTATCTCAGTATAACGAAGTCAATTTGTAATAAATATGCAAATCATGCAGCACATCGGGACAAAACGCTGCTAGTACAATCGGACGCTAAAATATCGGATTACGTACAGCCGATGATGTTCACTTCATTAAACTTACTGTCCTAGAATCACAGTGTTTTTGTTCCGAAGCTTTTCCAAAGACAAGGGAAAATAGACGATACAATTGGTATCTGTTATTGAATATTACTTTTGTTTTGTGATGTTAATGCGAGGAAGAGATGAAGTAACCGATATTTTTATGAATTGTATTGGTTTTTTTATAGTTAGATTATTTAGTACAATTTTGATAAACATAACATCACGCCTTTTTGTCCCCGAAGGGATAGGCAGAAGTGCACATTGCGGCACTTAATACCACTGTACACTGTACCACCCACTTTACACTATTTATGTTATGAGTCCCATGTAACAGGGAGTGACCCTATTGCCATATACCAGGATTTCCAGACTCCGTGCCACTACTGAGATTTTTAAAAACCCAGTAATACTTTGCCCGACCCGGGAATCGAACCCGAGACCCCATACAATTTTGATATTATTATGAAATAGTAAGGCACATTATATAATCTTGGGGATCATAAGTGGTAAATAAATTAAATACGTAGTACGTACTTTCTAGTCTTAGCTGAGAGACGAGTAGACACAGTCGTGATAGCTGGCTGCCATTTAATAGGAAGAACCTCGAGGCCAAACGTCTCATTACTGATTTGCAAGTTTGATATCATCTTGGCTTTCCTAAGCTGGTACCCACAGGCCTCGGAGTCGTATAGATACATGATACGAGTCAGTTTGTCAAAGTCCCACGTCGAATATTCTGGAGTCCAAACGCAACTGAGGATCGTTGCTGCTCCAACACACACACAGACACCTAGAAAATAAAAATTTTGATGAATAAATATTACATTAGTAGTCATGGTTGTTGCAGTGGCTGGGCGACCGGCTCTTGCTTGTTGTTGAGTTTCCATTTTCGCACCGAATATTTTGTATTTTTATCACAAATTGTTGTTCAGGGATATCTTAGGTCAAATTTTTAACCATAACTACGTGCCTTTTTATCACCGAAGGGGTAGGCAGAGGTGCACATTGCCACCGTGCAATGTAACGCCCACTTTTCACTATTTATGTTATGAGTCCCATGTAATAGGGGGTGAGCCTATTGCCATATACCGGGCACAATTCCAGACTCCGTGCTAATACTGAGATTTTTTTAAACCCAGTAATGCTTTACCCGACCCGGGAATCCGAGACCCCTTGCCCGGCACTTGCGACCACCCGACCAATGAGGCAGATATTTAAACAGTTAGTTTTATTATTACAATATTACAATCTAAAATAGGTAGTTCATTTCTCACAGTAGAAATCGTAATTTTGAAGGTTCTAGTTTATCAGACAGCGCCACTGCTTGGTCGAATGTATAGTCCTTTAGTCGACTGTTACGAGGAGACAGTGCTAACAAACCTATACAAGGCTGTTACCAAAATATTTTCTGCACATTTAAATGCCTTAACATACATGATCAGGTAAAGAACATACAAACAACATACTTTAAACTGTCAAACACCAAGCGGTCACCGGTGACCGCAACCTATTGTTCTTTAATTGTGTCTATAAATACGGTACTCGACCAGTTAATGATGATACTCACATTGTATGATAATAACGTCAGCTATTAAAGTGCACTTGTTTCTATCTCTAGGAAGTAATTCGAAATGATGATCGTCATCACTGTCCATCATTGTGTCCACGCTTGCGAAAATCATTGTGAACGATATTTGTTTTATATTATTTTCAGTAAAATAATATCGTCACAGGAAAAAATTGACATTTGACAGATCAATTTCCGACATCGAGTTGTTTTTTTAAAAGGAATTTTGTCTGTGTTCGTAATGGTAATAAATACATTTAAAAAGTATCAGTATCTTAAATTTTTAATAGATGTATTTTTTTATTAATTTAGTAGCTTATCTTGTTAGTCATTAGGTTACTTTTGACCCACTTAGTTTTTAGTTAATTTTCCGTGGTGCTTGGCGACTGGTCTTCACCCAGTTGTACAGTCTCTTTTTTGTGCCTTTAGGATTAATTCATTCTATCTCCTGCAGTTATTCATTCACCGAGGGAACTGGAAACTATCGTTTTTTTTCACCCCTTATAATATCTTCTGATCCACTTAGTTGCGCGAACCAAGACAGTTATTCATGTCCCTGGGACAGTTCATGTCGGTGTTTTCATGGCTGTATCTACTGTAGATCCTAGCTTACAGAAGTTGCAGCGGTTTTGGGAGGTTGTGGCGGGCTTGTCCCATTAAAAAAGGTTACTTTTGACCTATACTAACACTGAATCAAAGTTTAGTATAGTAAGTTTTTTATACCTACATGCTGATTTAGCCGCCTCAGTTTCATTATTTAGTGATCCAGACTAATTCGTGTTTCTAGAACACTTAAGTTTACTTAAAGCAAATTACTTAGAGATAGATCCTTTTAAATTGAGTTACATAAATAGATTTGAATGTCAATTAATTCTAAATGTCAGCTCCGTCTAAGTTGTACCTACTAAAGAAAACAATTAAGTGAATAATGTCAACAACTGTACAAATACAAAATGTTTGGAGTTTGAGGCTATTGAATTAAGTACACTAAATCCTACAATGTTCTCCTTCAGTGAGTCTTAGACGGTGATTAATTATCATGGAGAATGATCATATCGTCTGAACATCTTCGGCGAATATCTAAATTGTTATTAGCTTTTAAACCGACTTCAAAAAGGTAGGTTCCCAGTTTATAACTGTATGTATGTCTGTTAGTTTGTGCGTGTTTATCTCGCAATTGGCTGACTCGTATTTGATGCGGTTTTCAGTATAGTAATTAACTGACTTTAAAAAAGAGGGGTATAAAGTGGGTTTTTATAAACGCAGTTTATAAAAAAATTATTAATGTTTATAGTTTGATATTACATTTTTAAAATGGTTCATCAGTAAGTTATTAGTTTCACATAAAGTATATTAGTTAAGACAATTCTATCTTGTTCATATCGCTTCCATATCGGTATGTATCAGGTTGTATTTGAAGCTAATGGTTGTCTGGGACCTTTAGGAGTACATGCTCAATATACCAAGTCAAAGCGATACTGTATTGTGCATTTGTTTCTACTAAACTATTTGTATTTCCTTCCTTTATAACAAACCAAAGACGAGAAGTTATACAATCACATCTGTCGCGGAGAACCTAAGGGGTAACCGGGGCTCCAGCTCGACGTGCAGGAGAAGGAACGGGGTGGTTTTTAGTCAGTAAAAGTCTGACACTCCCTTCCACCTAACCCAGGCGGGGGCAGTCATTCGATGATTTTCCCCCCTTAAAAAAATACAATCACATCTCTACTGATCAAAACATAAAACAAAATAAACTCTTCATTATGGTTTTAAAACCTTCCTAATAGAACTTGTTTGAAGTTTAAACTGAGCAGTTAAAGTAAAAGAACTAAGTTGGGGAGCTCTCAAAGAGCTATGCATGGAGCTGTGAACGTCTAGTTAATTAACTGCCGACAGTTTTATGTCTTCCTTAGACGAGCTGAACATAGGGGTGGAATCACGATTAGTTCGACTTGATATGAGCTGGTAGAATGTATACGGTTTTTTAATTTCTCGTATCCCATTGTTATTTAGGGTTTTACATACAGATTACAGGGTGTAAAGTCAAAGTCAAGATGAAAATCAAAATCATTTATTTCAAAAGCAATTTTTGAAAGTCAATGAAAAAAAATTAAAGTGGATCTATTTGCTCATTCCAAGGTGCTACTTCCATCTATATTCCAATGGAGAAGAACGAGCAAGAAACTCCATAGGTTACTCTTTTTTAATCAGGTTTACAATACAATTTTCTAGTTACATATTTTTGTTGGTTCGATTTTGCGAGAACAATGTAACACCAAAATCCAGTCAAAGATATCAAGAAAGAAAATAACTTTAAGGACATAAAATAATACAGTCTGGAGCTGACCAGTCCCAGTTGACGGTGTCCGTATATGATGGTAATATACAGCTTAAAATACCAGGGCTCAAGTAAAATGAAATCTTGTATATGGTCCACAGACAGAGTGAATTGCTAATTATTACTATTATCTGTGGACCATAACCAAGGGACACTTTTACTCGACTTCATTGTTTTACGACAATAAAAAAAATATGAAGATAAACTACTCGATGCACAAATCAATAATTATACAAACATTTGCATGTATAACATTAGTAGGAAACAATGGATTCTATCACCTATTCGTACTTAGAATTTGAACATCCGACACCTCAGGATTAAGTTATGCAGACGCAGTTGTGGCACGCAATCTCTTAGTGACCACAGAATTGCAGGAAGTGAACAGATGTCCTATTCTGCGGGTTTGATTACACAACTAACTAGAGCTGACGGAATTGGATATCATCAATCGATTTTCACAGTTGGTCCCAGGATTGCTCCTTGCGGCATCCATATTGAAATGGTTGACTGTAATGTATGTTTAATATACATATATTGATAAAGTTAAGTGTTGTTATTTATCTTTGTCTCTTTTTAACAAAAAGCAGATAGTAAAATTTTATTTACTTACTATTAATAATTCACAGATTTCATATCAGAAGAACTCGGCAAAGGCAACCACGTTCTGGGAATTTTTATTGATCTTGCCAAAGCTTTTGATACTGTGTCTATTCCACTGCTTCTAAAGAAGTTGGAATGTATGGGTATCAGAGGCACACAACTGAACCTCTTTGCTGATTATCTAGATGACCGTTACCAGTGTGTAAGAATAGATGACGTCACAAGCCCATTTCAGAAAAATACGGGTTTTGGAGTGCCTCAAGGGAGCATTCTTGGTCCTACCCTATTTTTGATCTATATCAACGATTTGTGTAATATCGAGATGCATCATGGGAAACTAATATCATATGCTGACGACACGGCCCTCATTTTTTCATCGAATAACGTCAATGAACTGTTCTGTAATGCTCAATTGACTTTCAATTCAGTTAATAGTTGGCTTTGCTCTAATCTACTAACACTAAATGCGGAAAAGACAAAATTTATTCACTTTTCTATGCGCAAGAGTCCAATTACCTCTGTTACACCCCAATTATACGCACATAAATGTACAATTAGTCAAGTCGGTACATGCAACTGCCCTTGTATAGTAAAAACTACTTCCATCAGATATCTAGGTATCACAATTGATGAAACTCTCTGTTTCAAACAACACATCAACGCTTTGGTTGCACGTGTCAGGAAATTAATGCATATTTTTAAAAAAATTAGACACATAGGAGATATCAAATTAATCACTCAAATCTACCTAGCATTATGTCAGTCAATTATCCAGTACTGTGTTACGTCTTGGGGTGGCGCATCAAAAACGATTATACTCCCTCTAGAACGTGCTCAGAGAGCCATCCTGAAAGTTGCATTTTCCCATCCCTTTCTCTTTCCTACATCGATGCTATATAGATCCTGCAAAGTTTTAACTGTTCGCCAAATCTATGTTGTACAACTAATACTCAAACAACACTCACTACTCAGCTTCGATATTAACAATCTTACTAACAAAAGACGGAATGATATAGTTTGCACTTCAACCTCAGTGTCAAAACATGCTTTCATAAAAAGATTCTTTATCTTTCTTGGCCCATTTTTATACAATAGAATAAATAGAGAATTAAATATTTATAGCCTCAATCACTTTCACTGTAAAAACCTATTACATAATTATGTACACACCTTAACATACGATGAAACCGAGGAATTACTTGAAGTAAGCAAATAATTTTTGTTATAGTTGACTTAGTTATTTTTGCTTACGTTTGTTTATGAAACTGTACACGCGCACCTGTTATACTTAGATACCAACTTAATTTAATTTAGACATAAAATATTTAGTTTTATAAGCAATGTTATTGTATTTTAAATATTTCAGCACATTTTTAACCTGAAACACAGGCTTGGGCCTAGTTCAGGTTTTACATATAAATTTTAGACTTTTTTTTTTTTAGATAGTAAGATTTATTTTGTAATCTGGCTTTTTACACCAAATAAACATTTTTATTATTTTTTATTATTATTATTAATTATTATAAGACAAAATAAAAAAAATACTTCTGATATTAAAATAAGGTTTACATAACATAACATTATGCATTTTATCCCCGAAGGGATAGGCAAAGGTGCACATTATGCCTCTGTACAAAGTAACACCCACTTTTCACTATTTATGTTATAAGTCCCATGTACCTCTAATAGGGGGTGAGCCTATTGCCATATACCGGGCACAATTCCAAACTCCATGCTACTACTGAGATTTTTTTTAAAACCCGACCCCGAATCGAACTCGTGATCCCTTGCCCGGCAGTCGCACTTGCGACCACTCGGCCAACGAGGCAGTCTTAAATTAAGTTTACATATTAGTCTAGTTGTGTATCCCAAATAATGTAGGTATAAATAAACAATGCTTCTGGAAACAATTAGAGGGAACACAAAAAGTAAAGTCAACGATCATTAGAAGCGAGGGGAAACTACAGCAAAAATGTTTTTGGGTTTTTCGTTGAAAAAATGTTAGTGTGAGCTCCACTGAATATTTTTTCCCATTGTTGGTAAACTTTGAAAGATAGTTTTTCTTTTAGGCTTTATGCTTTTGAGATAAGAGCTACGTAGTAGATGTAAATTATTGTTGCTTGAGTTTGTTCAGGCATAATGAACAACAAATATTTATTTTCAAATATTGATTA